GGTTAATTCCAAGCTCCTAGCACGAGTTCCTAGGATAAGTCCAAAGGACCCTAAACAAATATGAGTCCTAGAGTCATAAGTTGGGAAAATCTAGTAACATGGCTAAATCACCAATCCAAATCAAACATCTGCCCATCAAGCAGAAAGACCTAATTCCTTACGAAGGAACAAAGAGTTGTCTTGAGCCGACCCCCCCAAGGCCAACATAAACCTGGGGGAAGAATTGCATCAGTAAGGAAAAGTGAGGGCATATGTACGCCGGTGGCCAGTATGAACCACCTGGAATTGAAAGCAAAAGCATTGCAGAAATGGAAGTAACCATATCATGAAAAGACAAAAAAAGAAAAAAAAATTGTTCTGCCGGACAACTCCCTTACTTAAAAGAGCCCCGTAGGCCCAAACAAAGATTAACAATTCTGTATTTGAGACATCTTCTCTGGAACATCAAGAAAATTCAAACGTTGTTTTACACATAAAAAATCCAGGATGAGGGAATGATCACTTACCAAGCAAATTAGAGGAGGCGCCAACTATGGAGGGATCATGTTCTGGAGGAACATCCTCGACATCGGGATCATTGCACAATTGGAGGAGGCCTCCTAGGTCGAGCTCACCCAAGCACAGATACGAAGCGAAGATCGTCTCTATAAAATCCTTCATAAAGGCATGCATGGACTAGGTTAGCTCCATAATGGCTATTGTTTGAGGAATGGATCCTTGCATCATGGCAACGGCAGGGCAAAAAAGCGCCAAGGCATGGTCAGTTCTGACCGGTGGAGGAAGTATCTCCACCAGGGGCACTTCCTAATACTGGTAACTATACTGGAACCTGCCCCACATGACCATATCAAAAGGAATGATCCTCTTGCGACTTGCAACAAAACACAAATCACACACATAAGGTGATCGAAAAAAGCCCCCGACTTCACCCCGTCGAGATATATGCAAAAAAATAAGGGGGGGGGGAGATGCACACTCACCATCCTTCTCCACAAAGAACTGGGACATCTTCCCACGTACCCTCCAACGACGCTCATACCAACTGCGGCCAACATGTAATCCTTCCAATCCTCCCCATTGAAGGGAATGGTATTTAGCGCTCATGCCATAGTCTCGCTAGCACCCTAGAGTTGAGGCGTTCGGTCATAGAAAGTGGTCTTGCGAGAATAGTCAAAACCGACCAAGTCGCGATTCACCCATAACCGTTTATCTTGCCAGATCTTCTTAGGGGCCTTCTGGTTTATGATGAATGCATGGACACCTCACCGCTGAGAGAACATATGTACTTCAGACTGGGTAGAGGAGTTGAAGTAGTACTTGAAAGCCCAGAATTGAAGAAGCACAGCCAAGGCTCGACATGCCATCTCGAAACCAACTATTTTGTTGACGAAATTAGGAGTTAGATAGTCCATAGAGAAGCCATCATGGCGCATGATCTCATTGAAGAATTCGGTTGTCGGCAGCTATAGAGCCGCCTTGAAGATGATAGGGACTCTGACCTTGCCTTCTGGCGGCCGAGAAATGACCGCCCCCTTTCGAGGATATTACACCCTGTGCTTGGGAAAAAAGCCAAATCGGGCCTACAGGGCCTCAAACTGGCCTGATGTAGGCTCGATTTCGGTGCTTAGCGTTGTCATTGTTTACCGATAACAAGAGTAAGGCAAAAGGGAAAAGAAGCAAAGAGAAAGAAGTGGATGTTGAAGACCAGGAGAAAGAAGAAAAGGAAACTGTCCCTGATAAAGGAAGTTTTAAATGTGAGGCGAGAAATTCGAATAGTTACAATGATAAAACCGTCTGTATAGACGACTCCATCACATCGGTGGACGTAAGAGCCATCTCCGCCAAACACATATCTCGATCTAAGCTAGAACAACTCAGCTACCCCAAGTTATGTTGTCGTTTACTAGCCTAGGGGACTTATTAACGTATCCTTCTAGGAATACGTTAAAGATAACAAGACGGTTATCTAAATGACGACCTAGCTGACGGTCGCTATCCAACATAAGTGCTAGGCCTGTGCCCTAGTACTCGCAGCCTTGCACTTAGATCTCGACGCTCTAGTGCCAAGGTCCAACTCAGAACGAGAAACTCTGGTCTATAGCAAGCGAAAACAATACTAACCGCTCCCTAGAGAGACAAGTGTGGTGCTCAGAGCGCTGCCCTTCGGCAGTTCTGCACCAATAGCAGATAACCGCTACCGGTGCACGATCTGCTGATAGGATGCCTCCACGCCATGTCGACCCAGACAAGACAAAAGGTATTGTCGGGGACATGCACCCACGACAACATGTATAAAAGAAACACTTCTTCTCC